TTATTTTTTTTTTTTTTTTTATAGGAAAGATGATACGAATGAGTTGACAATAACTGGTCAAAATTTTCTAACCGTAAATGATAACCATCAAAAGAGCCGGATGAATTCGTATCAGAAAGCTGTAAAATCGTTGAATGAACTGGGAAAATTATTACACGATGAACATAGTTGTATTAGCAAACCATCAACTTCATCCACATCTGCTCGTGATACACAATCAATCATAAATGATTCCGCATTATCAATCAATCAAATATTTGATGATATACTGATGGAAGATGAAAAAAAATCACGAATTAAATTATGCCAAAAAGAATCAATAGATATTTTATCAAATGTTAATCATAATTTATCAAATGTTAAACAAACAACTAGCAATTTATTATCAAATGATACAAATCGAATCAATCAATATGATAAGAGATCAATGCGTATGACGCAATCAGCAGTTGGAACTGATACAACATCAAATTTTCGTAATAAATTTTCAAAATTACAACTTAAAACAAATTTTGAATGTCATGATTATGATGAGAAAACTTCATGTAAAAAAATTGAATTGAAAAAATATATCGAATTTGATACTTCATCATTTTGGAATAAAAAATGAAATGATCAAAGTGTACGTTATTATCAACATCCAGAATTTATCACCTATCAGTGTGTATTTCATACATTATGATAAAATTGCAAAAGGAAAGAGGAAGAAATGGATGACGAGTGAAATTAAAGAGCAAGGAGGACAATTTTGAGGACAATGAGGACAGTTTTCAGATAGATTTCATAAATTTTAACAATTTGTCACATTTAAATATAATTTCGATGTAACCCAAGGATATGCTTTTTTCCAATCAGTCATTTCTTCAATGATCCACTCTTGATTTTTACTTTTTTTTATTGGTTTAAGGATCGATTTATCCCATATTGTTGATTCCGTTAATTGTCCATCGTATAACAGCTAAGTTGCCTGTTTTTTTTTTTCCGGAGGAATAATGTCCTCATTTCTTGCTGATTCTAGAAATCTTTGATAATGATGGAGATCCAGAAGGGTTTATTCTTAATGATGCTTGAAGAACAGAATCAATACCTATCATAAGACCTAATCTATCTGGGTAAACAAACTAAGGGCATAGCCTACTTTTCCAAACATACATTTCACAAAAACACAATATTACGATTCAGGAAATTGTCATAGCGAGACTGCACTTAACAGAAAGGCCGTGAAAGAACGAACGACGACATTCATATGATGATGATTGAGGTTCCGATCGTTTGTCAGGTCGTGCTATAAGGGTGAGTGGTTTAATCCGACAGCTATCTGTTCTTGTTACATGAATGCTATAGAAACAGAAACACTCTAAAGAAAAGTACTATCTGATCCTTTTGGATGATGTCAGAGAAACGGAAAAATGTTTCAGGATTAGTCACGAGTCCAGTAACCAATGAGGATCCTTTTCGTCGATAGAACTAATTTTTGCTGAGAAAGAAGAAAATAGGGGTTGCAGGTTATTTTCAAACGTAGTATTAGTTTACGGTACGTGGTTCTGAATTTTCCGGTTTGGTTTATGGGGTTTGAATTTGCAACATATGTTGCAGATTGTGTTAATCGAATGGTACTGTAATGAATCAAAGTGCTGTTTAAAATTTTTATCAAAACGGTGAAATGTATAAACCTGACCGATACAGGGATAGTGTATCCTGGCAATCATATCGAGCCGTTCCTTCACTAACTTCAGTGGAGCAAAGGTATTTGTGTCCCTTATGTAATAGTTCGGTAGTGTCATTTGAAAATTCTGGTTTTAGAAGTGATTTGTGTCTTTCAATAATATATAATATAGGAAGCGACATTGTGGTTCGAGTATTCCACATCACGATAGTATAGGTAATATTTTACATTCCGTTGTTTAAATTTATTTATGTATTTCTATTTTTTTTTTTTCAGGAATCCGGAGGAAACGAGACCAACTGCTAAAGCATTACCTCGCTATGTTATATATGCTTGTAATATTATGATAATGGTAAACACTTTATGCTAATTTTGTCAGTTATTTATTAATTACTTGATTTTTATTAATTACGACGACAATAATTTTCTTGTAATGTTGTTTAGTGAAATAAAAGAAGAGACCATCTACAGGTTTCTTTTCAGGGTCCTTCTGTAAGTTATCCAAATGACAAACAAAAAAGTTATTTTTAGGTTACTGGCACGGCATCGTTAGCTATGGGAGCATGGCTTCGTACAGATTCACGATTTAGTGATTTCCTCTCCCAACGGTATAGGAATGTTGTAGAGGAAGCATTCTGGCAGGTAATTTTTTGGGGGGAAAACTGTTGCAAATTAATCGATATTTTCGAAAAACCTTTTGGGTAAAAATTTTAATGCTGATCAAGTATTTTTGCTTTCAGAGCTAAAAGTGCTTTAAATGATTGTCTTCAGGACATTAAATTTTTATTTTATTCTTAATATCTTGCGGTCTTTTTTATTTTATCCTTAATATCTTGCGGATTATATTACGCGGTGTCAGCGGTAAAATAAATAACCGATGGTTATGAATAATCTGTAGAGAAGTTTAAAATTACACCATTGTAGGATAAATTTTTAGGCTCCTACTTTGTACGTTTTTTCCTACATTTTGATTATCGTTGGGATGTGCATGGTGGTTGTTGGTATGGTTGGTTGTTGTGGTGCATCTACCGATTCTCGAATACTTCTTTTCATATATGCAGTAGCAGTATGCATCCTTATGCTGTGCACTATTTCCTCGGAAATTTACCTTATCTTCAGAAAGTATGGTGTAAGTCCCGGACTTTTTCCCAATTTTTCATCAAAAGTCTCAGGTATTTTGATTTTTAAATGCGATGAAATCTTTGTAGATTGATGTTGAAGTGTCGGATGCGTTAACGTATATGGTTCAAAATTATTATCAAGGAGCAGGAATTGTTCAGGAAAGTTTAGATCGATTACAGCAAGCATTCCGATGCTGTGGTATGCTTTTGTTTCCAGTGTTTTAACCTTTTGATGTTGTCTTTTGATTTATTGATGAATTGGTTTTCAGCGTTCCTTTCAAATCATTTCCATGGAATTTCCGTATGTAGGATGTTGACTTTTGTCATCTATCAAGTCTCAATTTGTTGAGTGTTACTGACCACCTGAACGGAATCGATTTCATACATTATTTGTGATTTCGTCATTTGTCATTATTTTAACGTCGGCTGAAAGTTAATGCTGGAAAAAATGTTAAGGTAATGCGGGTTGTAGTGACTTTCGATTTTTGCATCAAGATGTTCCGCGTTCATGTGACATCAGGTGTGACGGTTGTCATTATCGTATAATGGCTGCATTGCGCATTGGTTTTTCTATTGCATTCGTTATCTTTGCCATCGTTATTATTGCTGAGGTTTGTCATAAACATCCTTATATTTCGGTCAGAGATCTGATTTTTCTATATATCAGAAATTGATTTCCCAAATTCATGCATATTTCCCAAATTCATGCATGCTGATTTAGTAATGCAAAATGACAGAATTTGTGCTTTTTAAAATGATTTGTTTGTAGCTTGTCGCAGTCTCATCTGCACTGATCCTCGTGATTAGATCAAGAAGTTCTGCGAGAGTTTGGTTGCCTAAAATGAAATGCCACAGAAATCACTGCGGGAACAAATATTACTCGTATGCACCTGATCAGTATCTGGATTTGAATTCACTGCGAAGTGATGACTGTCCCGTGCCAGGCTGTCATCATTCTGACCAGCTTACTTCGCATCAAAAATACTGAGAGATTCTAATCATTTCAGTACATTTCGAGTTTTTTTTCTTTTCCGAGTGGTTCCATCATCTCTTATGAAACAAATTTCACCAAGTTTTTTTCCTTCGAATGATTGCAGGTTAAGTCATGTATTTTTCCTTTTCTTTAATTTTTCTGAAGTCGTCTTTGCATGCTCGATGATTGGCAGTAAGTCAAAATAAAAAGAAAACAAAAGCAAGCGTATTACTATGTTTCTTAGTTCATAAGCTTTTATTTTTATCTTGCATTTTATCCATCATTGTGATTAGCAATCTACATATCACAATAGATATTATCAATTTTTCATTCCTAATTTATTTCTACGTTCTTTTCATTTACTACTCTGTTAAACTAGTCTATTTAATACAGTGGTTAGCACCAGTCCGTTTATTCTGTTTTTTCTTCACTTACTGCTTTGATGGCTTTATATAATTAATGGTGGATTTAGTTGTTCCACTGTTACTTTAATTGATACCCGTTCACTCATTGCTTTAATTTCGTTTTCCTGCCCAATCCGTCTCACACTCTGTCCGTTATCAATTGATACATTCACTTTTTCATTTTTGATCAGTTAATCTTTATTCTTCTAGATGCTTACTGAGAATCTGGTTATAAACTGCGCAGTTATGTTTTTTCCTTCTTTTCTTTTTTTCTTTTGCATTTTTTCGGTGCTGCAATAATTTTTGTTTGACATTTTTTAGAAAATTCGTTCAATATTGGTGATTTCTGTGTAGTTAGTAAACAATCTGAAAAATCTTGTTTTTCAATAATCATCTTAAAAAGGTTGCTCCATTTTCATTAATTATGTAAGGCTTGGGATTTTAATTCTGTAGGCAATTTTGTATCTTGGAGGAACCCAGTGTTTTTTGTAATGTTGAGAACTGACCAAATATCAAGTCATAATACAGGTTTTTTTGTAGATTTCGTTGACGGATGCATAGGTTGAAGAGTTGTGCTAAATACTTAAACCAAGATATTTTATTTGTGCGATGATATTTGAATTCAAGAATGCATAGAAGGAAAGAGGGGAAAAAAGGGAGGAAAGGGCTGCACTTTTTTAATTCATCTGCTGTACATAATTAAAGATTTTTTTTCTATCCGTAATTTCGGAACATCATACTGGTTTCTTCTTTCTAACATTTTTCGCGTTGAATCTCTTTTCTTTGCATATTTCATTAATCTAATTGTCCGGAAAATCCTCTAATTGGAAATCCTTCATTTTCTCATCTTCACAGTTCTACTTTTTCATGGTCATTTCCTGTTGTAATGTATTTGTTATGCAAATGAAATGCCTCACTTAAGCGTATCCAATGCCTTTGAGCGCTGGTTACGCTAAAAATAAAATAAAAAAAAGTCCCCACATAGCGTCATAGCATATTATTGGGATAATAACTTACCCATTCGTGTTTCTTCAAATATGGACTAATAGCATATTCCTTTTTTTGATTTATATACGAGAATATGGTTATGACCGCACGGTTTTTTTTTTCCTTTTTGATTTCAGTGATAGATTAATGATATTTTCTCTCTTGTGACCTGTTTGATATATATTTTAAAATTTCGGATCACTTGGTCTGGTGACACCTGGTGACATCTGATAGATCCTATGAAATGGGTGAAGAAAGAGGTGCACAGTCCCAACCAACAACAATATGGCATGGAGGAAGCTTAAGGGACAGTTTCTTGACAGTCGTTCAGGTATTCTGCTTTCTCAATTTTTTTACCAGAATGACAGAACATTGATGCGAATATATCTCTTGCATTTTTGTCTAGTGCGCCCATTATTATATCGGCAGTGTGATAAAGCAAATGAAATGGTCGACTGCTCCTTCAGTTGGCTTTTCATCTTTTTTTTTCCCTTTTTTTTTCCATTTTTGATTCATATTACAGAACGCTGGATCTCAAGAAATGCGAAATGAGCTTGTGGAGGATTTTAGGACAGCATTGGATATTCTGGCACAGGCTGCACCTGCTCCTAATATGTCATCGGTTGAAGCAGGTACCAGTACTTGAACGGACTGTTATGGTTGCTACATTTGATAGTTGGAAAGGTTCCAGATATGTTTTAGCGTAATCATGACTTCATCTTTGCTCGTCCATTGATTTTATTTTACGACAGTAGTTTAATAAACAGGTTAGATAGCTCAAGAAGTCTAAAAAGCAAAAACTGTGGTGAAACTAAGTTTTTTTCATAACCATGTCTCGAAATTTCGTAATTTTGTTCAAAAATTCTTCGTTATTTTCGATTTCGAGCTTCTCACAGTTTTTCTTTTTTTTTCCGAGTTTTTCTATATATAGAAAGCGGAAATGATCGTGTGGATACAGTGATTATCGTTGATGAAGACAGTGCGTCGAGTACTTCTTCAGGTTCTGGTACTAGACATAGGCTAACTCCAAGTATTAACGGGAATCAGTTTGGAAGACTGACAAGTTTGTGATTTGGTTCATTTTTTCCGTTGCCTTTCTCTTTTAAATGTAACTAAATTTTTAAAATAAGCCACAGAGATCCTCCCAGTCTTGAAGGATCAGTAATTTTGGACCTGTAACTTTGCGTTAATTGCAGCTGATGCAACCGAGAACAGTGGAGAATATTCCTCTGCAAATGATGATGCTATCAACACGAATCTTCAGAGGGAATTGAGCCGTTTAAGGGCACTTCTTCACAGAATTGAATTGCAACGGGTAAGTTTAAATCTGTAGTACTTAAATTCTAAATGCAACATTCTTGATAGTGTGATTCCTTGCTAAATAGTTAACACTTCAAATTTAGCAAAAATCATTGAAATGCAAAATTCTTTTAGTTTTTAATAAGTCGAAAATTATAAGTAATGGGAGTTTTCAACCAATTATTTTGGATTTTTTCCATTTGTTTGAAAATTATGCATCTCTCTTGAAACTGTGTTAATTTTTGCAGTTTTGGTTACTTGTGCTCAATGTTCTACCTTTCTTCATCATTGTATTTCTCAAAGCTGTTGTTGATGGATTCTTTTCATTAATAAGCGTTTTGGTAGCGCTTTTCCTTTTTCATATTGCAAACAGCACTTTTATGGCTTCTCGAAGGTAATTTCCCTCTAGTTTTTCTGCTTCCTTTAAAAATCTAACCAGCTAATTGTACTTCGAAAATAAAGTTTCTAACGACTTGCTGCTTTACAGCGATCAAGAAATATGAACTAAACTCATAATAATTCAAATTTTGCTGACTTCATTAACTTTCAGGGAAAAGCGCTACTTCCATCTTTTGCAGTCATTCACATCATCAGTTTTTTTCAACTTCCAGTCACTTTTTATGGTACGGCAAATTTTTAATTACGTTATTGTTATGGGTTGGAAGGGCAGATATCCTTTGGTCATGATATTCTTCATTTCAAATTGATATACAGCATTTTCTTTTCAGGACTGGATTCGATCTATATACCAATGGCTTTTATGTCGCGTCTTACGAATCCGATCACTTTTTTCGCCACTTTGCATGCTGTGCTGGTCGTTGATTTTGCTGTTAAAATTATCACCGTTACAGTGAAGGCCACGGTATATTTCATTTATCTTCAAGGTTTTCCAAATAAATTTCTTACAGAAAAATTGCAAGTGTGAAATAATATGTCAGCTTTGGTAGGGACTTTTTGTCGAGATGTTGGGACCAGGAAGGGTTTTGTGGCCATTTATTTAGGCTGAACGTTTTCCTATAGTTTCGTTCAGCTTTCATTATTCATTTGATTCTTTTTTAGCCTTCTGCATTACTTTTAAGTTGGAAATAATCAGCTTAATTTGACTTGTTTAGCTCACCGTTTTGCCGACAAAATTCATCGGGAACAGACGTTTACGTCGACTTTTCCAGTGGATCGAATATACCAGCCAGTTATATCGTTACATTTTGCCAATACCCCAGTGGACTCGATATCTGAGTTACTCGCTATTTTCCACTCCACTTACATATTTCAGTGATCATTTCTTCGCCGTGCTATATATAATTTATAAGGTATGTTTGCATTATCTGGAAATAAAAAAGAATCATGAAACGAAACATATCCATTTGGCACATATGTCATCTTCTTTCAGGTATGCTTAATAAAAGTGATTGGTAAACGTTGGTTTGAAAGCACCCGTCGTATTTTTCGCCTTACAACCGTTGGTTTGAAAGTTCCAACAGGTGAAGAAGATTCAGCTCAGTGTACAATTTGCTTCAATGATTTTTGCAATCCCGTTAGGGTCTGTCCTTTTTCGCTTTGTTTTTGCTTGGTGTTTATCATGTTATGATTTAGAGGAGCAAGTCAATTAGTTATTCCGTTTGTCCTGTTCTCCTGATTCGTGTTATCATGTACAGCAAAAAGTACTTTAACCATATTTGTTAGTGTCATATATTTGTTAGTGATTAACCATATCTGTTAGTGTTAGCTATTTAAACTACGATGTTAATTTGGACTAACCTTTTACCTTTTTGATAACCCTTAAAAGATTCTCATGATTTGTCATCCTTGGGATCACGTGCTTGATCGGTTTCTTGGGCCAGCTCATTTTCTTATACTTTACTTCAACTGGCAAAGTGTATAGTGGGACTGTATCCGTATTTAAATTTGGAAGTGGTGGTATTGCATATTTTTTCCATATAGAATGTGCAGTTTTTTTTAGGGTGTATCTTATTTGTATAAGCATATTTTGGATTTCTAGCACGAATAGAGTGAAATAATTCCTGAGTATTTTAGCGATTTCACCGAGATGACAAAACAGATTGGGCAGTCAAGTAAAGTATTTTTTCTGCTGGTAGCGCAGCTGCTCGCTATCCAAACGATGGGTAGTAAAGTTTTCAATTTTTTAATAGATAGTATCATTATTTACAGCTTTCTTGTGGACATGTTTTCTGTGAGGAATGTATCGGCACCTGGCTGGATAACGAGCATACCTGTCCAATGTGTCGAGCAACAGTTGCCCAAGAGGATAATTTGTGGAAAAGTGGAGATACGACATATTCTCCTCAGTTATGTTAATTGAGACAGTATTTTTATTTGCCTACTGTTCATCTTTTTAAAATGCATATTCAAATTACTAACATATCTCGGTCACTGAATGCAACTTACTTTGCTGGTGTCGCAGCTACTTGCTAACGCACTCTTAGTTAGCTTTCTGGAAAAGGTCTGCTTCTTCCGTCAAACTTCTCAGATTTTTGATAGTTCGGAAAAGATATGGTGCCCAGTTAAGTGACAAATACTGTTTAGTTGCGAACTCAAAATGTAAAGTATTAAAGTATGTAGAAATTTGATGCAATTTTTAATAGTATAATGTCCATCGCTATGATCCCATGAGGACTGATATAGTTTAAGGTTTGCTTAGCTTACTAATTTTATGTGTTACCCTTTTGAAAGTGGACAGGTCGTCTGAAAGTTAATTTTGTAAGGAATATCTCAAATGCTTTATGCGATTGCGAGATTTTTTCCTTTTTAAATATCAACTTCAAAAGCGTTTAAGACTGGTCCTACCAATCCAGCCGTTTTGATATGACATTCGCCAAAAAAAAAAAAAAAGAGAAAAAAAACAGATGCCTCCTGTATTTTCTTCAGGGTGAAATATGCATGCGTTGTTCGGGTTATTTTTGTATTGTCGAGAGTACTGTTTTTGCTGTTCTGCATTTTATTCGTGTGAATATGGATTTTTGATAGTTACAATTTTCATGAACTATGATAAAAATGATATCTTATGCATTTGCTTTTGAACTAGTAATCTGAGAGAGCACAAGAGTTGTTATGTATTATGGAGTTAAAATGTTAAGTCTAGAATTTCTGGACTTCGATGAACTGAATGAGCTCGTCATGCATAGACAACTTACTAATTATAGAAATAAGGATATTTCCAGTTAAGTTCCTTGCTGAATTGGGCGATATTTTAAAAAAAAGAAAAAAAAAAGAAGAAACGATGTAATACCACCTCCAGAGAAGCGAATATGGTGCCATACAGTTTTTTTGACAATTCTGAAAGAAGATATTTTCAGCAATCAGCGCTGGTGGTGTTTGTTTGGGTATCTTTAAGGGGTTATGCAAATAATTTCAGCCAGATTAATCTCTAATCGGCTTTTCTTAATTGGTGCAATATCGAAACTTTGGATAAAATGAGACAAGAGTGAGAGGATGTGATGAAAGAAGGCGATGAAACGAAGAAAACATTAGAAAATCAGTTTCTGTAAGGCAAGTGATGTTCGTTTATGACATATTTACTGCTAATATTAAAGACTGATATAATTTTGTATTTAAATTCCCGAATGAAATGGGTGGCTTCCTTTCCATCCTTCCGTTTCCTACCCGTTTCATAAAAAAAAATTTAACAGTTTGAAAAAGGGAAGAAAATATATTTTAATTATTTCAAATATATTGAAGAAAGGTTAGTTTTTTCCGTCGAAAAGTAATTGAATATTTCGTTACTGTTCTACTTTACAAATCTCCAAATGCAGTTTCAAATTAAGTAATGAAATTTTCCAACATGAAAATAATTTTTGTTTTCAAATGACGAGTATTCATTTATCCGCAATTTACTCATTAATAAATTTAAAGATTCATTCAGTCCTTGCTGAAAAACATTTACTTTTTGTGTTTTTTCTTTTCCTTTTTTTCCCCCTAAAATATATTCAAAATATATGCACCAATAAAGTACTTACCGAAACTTATGATACATTCCATCAATAGAATTTATTTTTTTATAAAAAAATTTTAAAAGTTCAAAAGATCGTAATGCAAACTTTTATTTGCATTATGGTAAGCTTTGATGAATATGAGCAAAAAAAAAAGGAAAACAAGCATGTTACAATTTATCAAATCATTAAATTTTTCTCTGAAGCAACCAATAATGATCACTATTTGGTACTTATTTCAACGTTATTACTCCTATTGATCAATAAAAATGTCATTTAATGATTTAATAAAATTAAATTAAAATGTAACGATAAAATTTTACTAATTTAATTAAATAAAAAATAGGATGTGTAAATGAAACAAGTAAGTAATAATGTTGTAATGTTACATGAGACAACATTATTTTGAGGAATATTTTTCTTTCAATTTTTTACTTGAAATATCTACAAGAAGTAAGAACCGGGTCTTTCTAAAGGCGGTTCGTTAACTTTTTAGTTTTTTTTTTATATTTATTTCCTTTTTTTTTTTTTTTCTACTAATACAAAGGCGTATCATCCATCTAAACAGCACAAACCCGTTGAGGAAAAGGGGAGAGAATGGATAATGATAGTGTGTCATGATGCTGTCGTTTTCAGTAGTAATTATTGGTGATCTATCGAAACAGATGTCCAGCAGCGTTCAACTATTGGTCACCAGTATTGTCCTATTGATAAGATTTACCTATGCTGAACTTACACTGAATAACAAAAAATTGGAATGGATTATTGGTTCCTGGCGATCGGAATTCTCCGGAAAGGTTTTATCAATCATTTGAAGTTTTTTTTTTTTT